GGCTCAAGGTTGACTCAGCCTTCCATCCTTCCGAGGTGGGTAAAATGAGGACCCAAATTGTTGGGGAAAAAATGCTAATTCTGTAAACTGCTTAGAGAGGGCTATAAAGCACTGTGAGTCTAAATATTATTGCTATCTACCCTTCCCTCCATATTGGATTGGGTCGACTTACTATAGGAACTGTCTATTAAATGCTATCATCTGCTGGGATCTAGCAATAGCAAGCCTTCTCCCTGTGGCATGGAGGGCCTTTAAGACTTCATTTTTCCCTCAGGACAGGAGACTGGATGGAAGGGTGCCAAGCATTTGTGGTTCTATAATGGAATGCATGACACCTGAGTTTTTAATTTCTTTCTATTTTGTTTTACTTTCATTAGCTACCTTGTCTCAATGTCATTATCATTAGCTATCTTGTGCCCAAATTTAGTGGAATGAGAGGACAGTAATTCAACAAACAGAACTATTTCAGGGAGAAGTTCTGTTCTGAGACAGTTATTTATACAGACTGTTCCATGTACTCCACAGTTCATGCATAGTTCAGATAGGCTCCTTATACTTGCTCCCTGTGAAATCCTATACACAGATTCTTGTAGAAACTCACGTTTTATTGAGATGCACTTTTTAAATAATAGGGATGAATGGATGGCTGGATAGAAGGTATGAAGGAGGGGAGAGAGAGATAGCAAAAGGTGGAGGGAGGAGAGAAAGAGAAAAGAGAGAGAGGAAGCAAGAAAGAGAAAGGAAAAGAAGGAAGGAAGCAAGAAAGGAAGAAGTAAAATTTTCAGGGATCCTATTGCATAATTAACAACAACAACAACAACAACAAAACAGTTTCTATAGATTTAGATGATTTTTCCAGTAGCTTTCAAAAATAGCTGAAGCAAAAATATTATTTAGATTGCCGACAATGTATACCCTGGATAAATCCATATATATCAAAATCCATGTGATTTGGATTTTAAAGTGTAATAAAATGTATTTAGCATGTACTTGGAAGGATAATATTCATAAAGTTCCACGCTGCTAATGAATCACTTGCTCTATTGAATCAAGTTACTCCTACCTCTGTACATAGGTTTTATATAATTGTCTAAAATCTAGATTGCAGATAGGAACATTATCTTTGGGTCCTGTTTTTCTTCACAATTTCAAACAACTTTCTAAATGGTTATATCTCTTCTCTTAGCAGTCATAATGTATGGTATACCAAAGTATTATATTATGGATAAAGGAATCATACCAACATAAATAATATCTTGGTTTTTAAGTACCATTGTACTTTTGCCACATGTGTAGTCATTAGCAAGGTTGGGTATAAAATCATAATTGTCCAAAGATCAACACTTCATAATGTCTACAGTTTAAGTAGCAGTACAGTAAACCTCACTTGATTGTTTTACAGTATAACATTCAAAGATATGCTTTTTGGTTTAAGACATTCAAAATGCAATATTTAAATATGCAGAATTATCTTGAGTTGTTCATATGTGAACTTAAAAGCCATGCAACACAGGAAAATTAAGTAATTATGCCTCCAAGTTATTTACTGCAATTAAGCTCATTTATCATATGCAAATTAGTGCAAACTGGTCTCATTAGTTACTAAATTACTCAATATGAGCTGAACAATGTAGCACTCCAGTTTGTAATGAAAAATCCCTGTAGAGGCAAGCAGGATCAATTAAGCTAATTTGCATATGCAAATATATTGTCTCACTTTTAGTTTTCCCCATATTTAATCTTACATTTTCTGGTCATTCCTGATTATATTAAAAGGATGAGGTCAATCAATGTCTTCATTGTAATCTTAAGTCTTTATACAACTTCATAAAGAAAAAGATTGCAAGTCAGATTGCCTATATTTGTAGCAGCATATTAATCTATTTTTCATAGAATAATCAAAATAAATGCCATGATACTATATTCTTAGATTATTATTTTTTGTAGATATGATTAATATATTTTACCTGACAGCGAAGACAAAGTCACTAAGATGTTGGAACAAAAACTGAAAAAAAATATAGTGGTTAATTACTTTATTCTCAACAAACTCTTCCTACCATGAATTCAATCAGAGTTTTTCAGTTATACTGTATGTAGAAATTCTTTTTCCTGGTGTTACGTTATTGAGTCATATTCCTTTGACCCAAATATAACTGACTTCAATTGTTGCTTTGATTATATAATTTGTTTGTGACACGCAAAGAAATGAAATGAATTCCTTGTATGCCTTTACTACAAAAGATACAGGATAGATATTTAAGCTTGTACTGACTTTCTCAGGGACATGGAGGTACTCTGCCAACAGTGTAAACTTGGATTTTCAAACAAACTTTGATGTCCATCAAAAGCTCTTGGGTAAACTTAGGAATCAAGGGATAAGACATATTCTTTTATAGACTCCTAACTGAATGCAAAGGACAGGAATTTCTGTTTCCTCAATAAAAGAAGTCTCTCAAGATCTGTTCTGAGAAGTATTTTTTAACTCATTCATAAACAATTCTGGCTAATAAATAAGTATTATCTATGCCCAAATTTCTGGATGATACCAAACCTTGTGAAGATCAAGTGATTGTGCTCCAGACAGATCTCTTTAAACTAAATGAATCATCCACCAAATGGCAAATGTGCTTCAATGTAAACATAAATATTTTATATTTATATGCTGGGGTGCAAACACACACACACACACACACACACACGTGTGTGTGTATGTGTGTATGTGTGTATGTATGTATGTATGTATGTATGTATGTGCACATTGCACTAACTGGATCTGAGAAGTCTGTAACTAACCAGGAAAATTATCTTGATGGGGTCATAATGGATTGCTTAATGAAGATGTCAACTGAGCAGCAACCATGAACAAGAAAAAGTCCATGCTAATGAGCATCAGAAGTGGATTAAAAAAGAAAACAGCCCACATTGTAATATCTTTATGTAAATTTGTGATACTCACATCTGGAATACCATGCACAGTTCAAGTCACCACATTTGGAAAAGAAGCTGAGCAACATTTAAAGGACAGCAATAAAAATGAAAAGTTACCCACAATACTTTGATAAGCTATAAGAAAATATTAGAATATTTTGAGCCTGAAGCTTAGAAGAATGGTGAACAATGGTGATTAAGGACTACAAAGCGCACATCAAACTGTCTCAAAACACTAGGACCAGGAGTCATCCAACGAGGCCAGATGGAAGAAGATTCAGAACAGACAAAATGAACTCCTTCACACAATGAACCTATGAAATGTATCACTATATCACAGTAATATAAACTATATAGAGTGACTGGCCCAAGATCACCCAACTGGTTTTTTGATCAGGTGAGACTAAAACTCAAAGACTCCCAATTTTTAGCCACTTGCCTTTACTACTACACCAAACTGGCTGTCAAATAACTTAGATGGCTTTAAATGGAGATTGGATACATTCATGAAGAAGTCTATCAGAAGATAGCAAGACCCAAAGCTATTTCTATGTTCCATGCATATCTCCAGCTAACACTTGCAAGAAAATTATGATGGCAAAGTCACAGTCAGGAGAACTCCTTTTGTTAAATAAATTGTTATTTATTTATTTAATGTATATGCGGTCCATCTAACTATCAAGCAAGTGTGGATGACATACACATTTATCAAATAATAATAATGTTTTTTTTTATTATTTTATGTACATGATTTCATGTGATTTCCAAACGCTCACATTATTTTAATGCTATTATGATTCATCCCACAGTCATCCAGATGTTTAGGCTGGATTTGGCATTTTTATCCCTCTTCAAGTCATTCCCAAGGACCTGGGATAAGTAGATGTTACTGTTTGATGATGCTAAAGGTTATTATTGTTATAGTTGATTGCATAGTCATTATTATTAATGGTGATAATATATCAAACAACATCTTTTTTCTTCCTCCTTCAGAACAGATAGTAAATGTATTAAACCACATTCAACTAAAACCAGCATAAATTTTTGGAATATATGCAAACATTGTTATGATTACACACACAATAAAGCTATGCAAGATAAAAGTTTACCAAGATCTTATGTATTAAAAATCCATTCACTTGATGAATAAAAATCATTACAATCATTCTGGTTTTTATTTTTTGAGAAACTTACTTTGCCAATCATTTTGCCAATTGTTGTTCAACAATTCACCAAAAATATAGCAACAAAAGATAGGCACCTTAGCAAAGAAGGATAGAACAGTCAGAGGAGGGGACAAGTCATGACTTATTTGTAATATAGTATAACAGATTTATTAGGACACCTGAATTCAGCCCTTTGCTTTTTAACTTAAAGTTATATTTTCTGCTGGATGCAAAGTTTAATGTACAGGGACAGAAATTATCTTCAAAGAAGTAAAGTTGATGATAAAATAGATGTTTATATTTTGCTTACACTGAAAAAATATATTGATTCTGATCCAAATAAGATTCTACTAGGAATCTTGTGTCAGACCAACATGAAAACACATGGCTGAGGCATAACATTTGTCAAGATAATGTCTTCAATAGATACTACTAAAAGAAATTTGGAGGAACCCTATATTGCTTATCTAAAGTGTTAAAGACATGCTATCTTTTAAAGGAATATAAATATCACAATGAATGTAACAGTTGAAGCAATAGTGCTGAAAAACTACAATAGGAGGAGAAAAATGAAAATCTACATGTGAACAAGTTTAAAACATTTTTTTTCACAAAATGATACTTAAATATATAGATATTTGGCAGGACCAAATTGAGATTGCACAACATAATACAACTAATGTGCTGAGTTTTAAATTGTTACAGTACAAATAATAATTGTCCCCCTTTCTCATTAACATTCTCTCAACCATTCATTTAAAAAAAAAGAATCTGTAAGACAAACCCTCACTGTATAGACTCTAAAAGTAATAGCAATATCCAAATATTTGACAGGTGTCTTATATCTTGCTACTAAACATGTTAAACTATTTGTTGGTTTGTTTGCAAATCCATTGCTTTTACCTGTAAAATGTGACTTCCCAAATGTGACTCAAATACTTCAGTGGCAAGGGCACTGGGGCTTCTCCTGCGCTGGGCACCTATAACTGAATAAAAAAGGGATTATGTTACAATCTCTGCACATTTAGTCATAATGCATCCCAATTTAGGTAATTATTATTATTATCCATTAATATTTTCTATAACATTAACATTTGAAAAATTATAATTAAGGAAAATTATAATTCTATGAAGAACAAAGGAATCCTAATTCTCCACTTTATTTCTTTATGTGGAAGATTGTATTCCAAAGTTGTTCAATATTCCAGACACAGGTCATTTACACATGAACCTCCATAATCAAAATCAGTTTATACAAGATCCAGAATTTACCTAACTTGATACAAAGTTGGGCGATTATACTCAAGCATAGATATTTTGCTACTTGTTATATTGATCAGTTATAGATGAGCAAAAGAGAAACCGAGCATCTTAAAACTCTAAGCATCTTTCCTTGGTTGAGCAATATACCTACCTACAAAAAAAAGAACCTAATAAAAAGCCTTAAGTTTATTATTAGCTTGATTCTATCAAATGAGTTTAGAAAAAAAAAATAGAACTCAGAAACCTATAACTTTGAAAATTTAATAAAGATATATTCTATAAACAAGCTTCAACTTTTGTTTGAAGAAGTTCACTTCAAACAGCACCGTCAAAAATAATTTTAGGACTGCAGGAAATAAAAATACAGAACAAACCCATACAATACTACTGATAGAAGAGTATATCTGTAGCTCTAATGTTGCAGAAAACATTACCAAAATAGGTAATATCTTCAGTGCAAATAGTTAATATTTGTAAGTCAATATCAAATATTTTTATGTAGTAAAATAAAAAGGAATGTGTCTAATCTTCCAAGCCAAACCTTAGGAACATTAAATATATGGTTCTGACATGGAAAATGTCCATCCAATGGTATGTGAAATTATCAATTTCACATTTACAATATGATCACAATAAGAATTCCTCTGCTGCTTATGGTAACACCAAATATGTACCAATGCATGTCACTTGTTTTTCTTCTGATATGGATTAAGTTATAAAATTTGCTTGTATTTTTTTAAAAAAGCTCCATTGTTAAGATTGTGATTTTTATCTCTCCTATGGCGGAAATTTAAATGTTGCTTTAGTAAACCTTAAAGTACAATTCAGAATGCACCAGCTTTTGCCTTAATTTGGGTGAAACTCTTTATTGCAGCCATATATTGTAATTTTGAAGATCAGCTACTGCCTCTCCTGTGCAAATGAGACAACAAAGACTTGATGGAAAGATACATTTTGGGAAAAATAAAATCATCTATATTCCCTTTTTAAACAACTTTGGCTCATCAAATGCTTTCTCTCCTGGCAAAGAGATATGCTTACAAAATAAAATAAAACAAAGCACAAATGCCCTTTGTTGAGCATGGCATGCTCTTTTTTTTCTAGGAAGAGAAATTCTTCCACAATTTCTCAAAGGAAGGTCTTTTTCTTAACAGAGACAGTGGCATTGATACTGAAAAGGCCCAGTGAAACAAGTTTTCTCATAATATCTTCCCTTGGAATGCAGTTGAAATGTGGGAAACTAGAAAGATGGCAGGCCACTAGAGAAATGACTACACAATGAAGAGAAGGACACACACAAACACACACACACACCATTTGGTCATCTAATGCAAGAACATAGCACTTGGAGTTTTGCCAAAAGCTGTTCTCCTTTGAAATCATTTCTAAAGCAAATTCTCTTTCATCAAGCTGAATAAGAAATGATTGTGGGGGGGATGCAAAATGTATCTGCCAAGCAGTACTATATGTCTGAAGCATAGGCTTCATGGAGCTGTTCCAAAGTTGTGATAGTAGATTAGAAAACAATACAATGTCTTCCCTGTGCCTCAAATTTCCTCTGTTCAAGTCCATCTTTTCTGCAGTTGGTTTCCACAAAATACATTGAGATGGCAACTGAAACTGTTCCTTAGATGCTTCCAAAAGATTTCCTTCCACATACTCCTTACTTAGTTTCCTAAAATTGTTACTTTGTAGGGGGGAGCAGGAAATTAATCAAAAGCAGGTACTGCCAATTTTACAAAGGATCAAACAGTTCTAAAAGTATAAATCTATTACACTAAGGAATTGCACTAATATATCTAAAAATGCTCAAGAACATACAAAAATGAACCATGTTACAATTATATGTCTTGGTTTATTGTAATAAAAGAGTTCTATGTTTCACATTATATAGTACAAACATCCATTGGGGTCAGCAAAAAGAGCTTTTGTTATTAGGCAGATACGTGCTGAAATGTAAAGATTATAATACTAACATATGCAGCTTATGCACAAAATGGAGCATGAAGTTATATATAGTCAGCAGTGAAGTATCTTCCTATCTCCAGAAACAAAATTAGATATCACAAAAAGCTTCCCTTATGTCTGTCAATCTCAGCAGAGATAATCCTTTTAATATGGAACTCAAAAACATGTGCAGCCTTCCAATTCAATGCAGGACAATTGTTAGTACATTAACTGGTTCTTTTTTGCCAGTAAATAGACAAAACCTTGTAAACAAGAAAGCTCAGGGTATATGCTCTTATGCCTGCAAGAAATTGTTAGATTAGAATAAATCTTCTATATCTGCAAGTTTACTACATTACTGGAAGAAATATTTTTGCAAAAACGCTTATTGTTGTAGTAAATGCAGTATGACCCCAACACTCATTACTTAATGGCAAATCTCGGCCAATCTATTCAGGAGCTGCTACTGAAAGCATGGGTTTCTTTTCTGAAATTGGCCTGATCATTGATCAATCTAGTGAGAATAAATTCCATAGAAATGATTTGTAAGGGGCATTTGCATTATTAGTGCCGAAAGACATATGACATCCATTTAAGAGTAGACATGGGATATTGGTTTGGAAATGTAGCATTTTGGCTATTCCTTTTAATTTCTTTGCAGGAAACATTGCACTTTTTATATCAAGCAACAAATTTCCTGCTGAAGTAATGTATTACCCTAAAAGTTAGAGAAGCTGAATATTCTAAATCCAACACTTTGTCACCTTGATTTCAGAAAGGAAATCAAGGTGATATATACAACAATCAACCTTGAGTGTATTTCTTGTTAGTTGCTGTTATGTCCCTGGACCTTGAAGAAGTTCCCACCCAGGTCCGTTCACGCTGCAGGGGCAGCTGCCCCTTCTCATTGGCTGGGTTTCCCCAGCAGCCTGCTATAAAAGCAGGCTGCTGGGTCCAGCCCTTTCGCTGTTCGCTGCGAGCCAGTTCCAGGCTGAGCAAGCACGTTCAGTCCTTGTAAATAAACCTTGTTGCACTAAGCCCTGGTTCAGCCTCTTATTTCCCATACTTAATACTGGCGACGAGGATGGGATGGCTACCAGAGGCAAGCTGCAACACTGAATCACTAAAACGCTGATCCGCAGCCCAGAGAGAGAGCGATCAG